CTTTCCCTTTACCTTTTGTTTGGTGCCTCAAGAAATCGGACTTCTCACTATCTGTCTCTTCCGACAAGCATCGCCCTTTCTCTTGACGACATTCTTCCCGTTCTCCAGTCTTACAAGCTTCACCAGCAAGAGTTGGCAGGTCGTTCTCATCCATGGATTCTCGATTTTCAAGATAACAAACATTCATGCACTCATGTCTTTTCATTTGATCTCCATCCTCTTTCTTGGCAGCGATAATCAGTTTTTCACAAGATTCAACTTTGTTCATCGTATTAGGATCGTGGTTTAGAGCATTTCTTACGCCCAATGATTCATTCGCCAACAAGGTCCCACTGTTTCCTCCAATGGCTCTTGGAATATCTGTTCCATATTTAAACCACCACATATCAGTGAGAGGTAAGTAAAAACTGTCTAAAACCCACAATTCAGGCAAACTTTCTAATAATGGAAACGAACAGACATTAGCTACAAATCCATTCACCTAACAATCTTCTTGAATTACCTTCCCCTGTCTCTGCTGGTTTGCTATCTGCATCATCTCTGTTCTCCATCTTATCCTCGGACAACTCCTCCTTACTGGCCATACATGCAACAATGTTCACATCCTCCATACAACCACCAGCTCCTGCCAAGAAGGTTCAGGAAAAAAAACTGTATAAGAAAGAAGGAACGCTTGAATACAAGAACATGGAAATAGAATCAATGGGGGGTGTTTTCATTGGACACCTGACGAAGGTCTATCCGTTTCAGTACTTGGCAAGCAATCTCGGTTCACCCCAGCTGCAGATCTATCCTGGGTTCGTAATTGAAAACTTAGATGAAATCTTGGCTCATCGTTTCTGTGAGGAATTACCATATTGTTCAGTGTAATACCAAAGGCAGGAGAAATCAATTTTCTCCTTTCAGTGAAGCTGCAATCGGTGAATTTTAAGCTCAGACCGTTCTGTGGAGACCACACTAAACTCAGACAGAGGATCCATGGCCGCAAACTGCATTCCTCCTTTCAATGAACCTGCATTTGCACCTGCACCTACTTTGGTTTTAACGCTCCTCTCTTTACTCTCATCACCACCATCCATCTCTTCCCAAAGGAGTTGACCTGAGACATACCAATCAGATCCATGAAAGCCGAGCTCGAATAAACATATCTAGCTGACATAGCTTACAAGACAAGAAACTGCACCATTCGGCAAAAGTACAAAGCAAGACAAAAGAAGTTATTTTTATAGGTAAATAAGAAGATTAATCAAGCTGGCGATACTTAGATCACAATTCCACAGCCCACACCAATGCAAACTACGTACAGTGAACATAAGTTGAAAATTTCAAAGAACCCTAGTGTTCATTTCGTGGATTTGACGAGTTTTTCTCATTGTGGATCGAGCAAACTGATTACCTAAATCCCAAGCAACCCTTCATTCTCGTGGGGATTCCCATCTTCGAATCACACGACATACTGCTTAACTATCACATTGCTCTACAATTCCAACCCTAATTGACAGAAGTACCGAAAAATGCATGAGTGCCCTAATTAAGGGCACAGAAAAAGAGGGCATGTAGAAAATCTAAGCAGAAAACCCTCTTCGAGAATAAATACCCAGAAACCAATCCCCAGAGCAAGATCATCAAAATCAAAAGAAAAAAACCATCGAGTAACATGAAAAATCGAAATCGTCGATGAATCGGCTTAAGAACACAAAAAACCCACCATGAAGCAACGAGAGAGAGGGGGAGAGAGAATGCAGCAGTGCCAAACGTCTATGGCTACAGCGTTGTGACGTAGAAGTTGCTCACAAACGAGTTATACACATGTTATAAGGTCCCCGGACTGCCACGTGGCCGCATCTCACTCCATAGATGGTATACGCTACAGAATAAAATAATTACTCCTAATTACGGCAAAACGATGTAATCGCCGGCTATATATCCATACAATTTCTCGAATTATTAAATATTAAATTACGAAATACCTTATTCATCCATATCCAGAAAATGAGAAAACGTGAGATTTTGAAAGCAATCATATTTCATATTTGATATATAATGTTAAAAACCAAAAATAAGAAATTGTTAAACTTTATATAAAAGTTTATATTAGTAATTTAGAATAAACCCTATATATATATAGAACTTATTAGTTTACTTAATTAAAAAAATACTTTATAGTATAAATCAAAATATCATAAATATATAGGTAAATTAATAAAATTGATACAGTTTTAGATATTTTTATAAAAAAATTGTTTGAATCTGTCATTAATTAAAGTTTTAATTAGATATATTTTAAAATTAAGAAATTTATTTGAATGTTTTGTCCAATTATAATAAACAAAAGATCCCAATCCACATAATTCAGATATAGATGAGATATATATGGTGTAGTATCATTATCTGTGTCTGCATATTCATATATATATTTATCAAAATATAATATATATATATATATAATATGTCTATATGCGTAAGACATGACAAGCCTTGCACTATCTATCTATGGCCTCTCTCTCTCTACATATATATACGGCAAGGTGGTGTCCTCCTGCGTTGTCAAACTCTTGTCCTCTTTTGCCGTGGTCACCTTTTATATTGAGGAAATTATTTTTCATATAATATAATATAAATAATATATATGCATTTGTCTTGCTAGGTAGAAAAAGAAATTACACCCGTAAAATAATAATTTGATAATTATAATAATCTCAAACTGCATCTTCATTCCAGCATAACGAAACAGAGAATACACACTGATATAATTAGTTGAAAATCAAATGAAATTTCATATCGAAGATAGAAAGATTCATTCGAAAGAAGAGCAGAAGAAACTCTTTTTACACAAATGTTTTTCATGTTTGTGTTTTTTTTAATATAAAAAGATTACAATCCCCCATTGTGCCTCTAGTGCCCGTTTGAAGGCCTGAACTCTGTGTAGCCATTGATGCTTGCCGATAAACCATGGCTCGATCTCTCCAAGCCCAAGTACGGAGAAGCCACGGCTCCATCTGGGTTCCTCATCGCAAGTAAAGACAGGTCCATGTTCGCCATTTGCCACTGGGTCGGTATCAAACCATCCATATGCCCATTCACATAAGGTGGGGCTGAGCCATGGTGAATGTATGAGCCGTAATGGCCATAACCACCCTGGTCGAACCCTTCATCGTTGTAATTCCTGGACGACATGCATGATGACAATAACTCACCTGAGAGGCCGAGATCCATGTACTGACTGTTAAACAGTGACGGCACATGGAATGCATTTCCCGAGCCGCCATTTTCGTCTTCGAGCAGGTCGTTGATGATGTCGAGGTGGGGAAACTCGTCCGTCACCAGGTTCTGTGTCTGTTCCAGTGGCCTGCTCCTCCCTATGAGGTTAGCCTTGAGGGAGTCACGGTTCATGCTGATGGGTGTATTCCTATGAGAACTTGAACTCCCTCCTGTGCATAAGAACCCACCTGCTGAGTCATCCTGAGAACCGAGACTGAAAGGAAAGCCTGATTGATAAGAGGCCGAGACTGGAGGCGGCTGAGAGTGAGGCGGCAATGAGTTCACTCCCACGGCCAGAGAGCTTGAGTGGTTGAAACTTGAACCCACAATGGCACTTTTATAGGATTGAGGAATGTAGGGTTGGCCACTTGGCGACAGGTCAGGACCCAACCGGCCAGCTGAGCTAACCGAACGAGTACAGAATGTGGCAGTTTGAACCGCAGAGCCGACAGGGTTTGCTTGCATCTGGGGAAGTATTATAGGAGCACTTGAAGGCCTCGATATAAAAGGTGTTGGTTTTTCAGCAGGTTTCGAAGCAGCAACCTTCTGAAACTCAGCCCTGTGACCCACTGTTCGCATCTGAAGACTCGGGGTTAGTGCTGCTTGATCCGATGAAGGCGGTCCATTTAACAATACTTTCCTGATCGGAACAGTCTCTACATTTGTAATGCCCTTTTTATCGGGTTTCACCTGCACTATAGATGTAGGATTCCTCGGAGAAATTCTTGGAGACGATAGCACGGCTGCGCTTTTCTCTTTAGGCCGGTCCATATCAACTGAGTGCACGACTTTTTGTTTCATCTGCACATTTCGCTCCTGCCAGAATGAACAAACCCGAATATCAGGTTATTCACATTTCTCTTCTAATTTTAGCTGTAAAAATGCCACGAGTAACACACCTTATTAACAGGACTACTCTCCCCAGAACTCTCTGGTTCCTGAATGTAGGAGACAACTGCATCGGCTTCGTGTTCACCAGCCTTACCTTGCTCGGAAGTACGGTTCTGATTCTTTGGGGTTGTTTCATGTTTTGAAGGTTGATATTCTGTTTCACTCACCAAAGTACTGGCATCAGATATCACGTTGCCTGGTTGGTTCTTTTCTCTGCAAAAAACAGCTCAGTATGTTCAATTGAGTTATAAATTTCCGAAAACAGACAGAGAAACAAAGCAGCAGGCTGGAAAAAAATACTTACTTGCTCGGAGACTTATGGTAACGATGATTTAAGATATTTCCTTTGTAGGACCCGTTGGCTACCCCTGATCGAATCGAGTCATTAGAACACGTCGACGAACTATCATCCATCACAGACTGATTCTCTCTTTTAACTCCATTCCCTATAGATATGGAACTGCTTCTTCTTCCGTTACTACTGCCTCCTGTGGGAGTAGGATGAATCTCGGAAGTGTCTGTATCCCAATGAACAGGGCTACCATCTCTATCTTCAGAATCGGGCTGAAGAATGTCAGCCGAATCATCCACAGAATCAGATATGTCCGAAACATCTCCAAGAGTATCGGATTTTTCCACGCTGTACTGTCCTTTCCCTTTCACCACAGAGTTCTTTTTATCGTCGCTTTCCTTGTCATCTATCGGGGAACTCACCTTTTCCTCCCTTCTTTTCTCCTTCCCTTTGTTTTTGTTCTTTTTTTGTTTCGCCTATGAATGTTCAAACAATCAGAGCACTTCGACACATCGATAAGGACAAGAGTAAGGGACAGGATTAGCTTGAAATGCAGGAGCAGTCAACCTGTTTCTTCTTTGATTTCTTCTCTTTCTCGACCCCTCTTTTAGCCCTCTGTTCACTTTCTGCCAACCACGCTTCCTCTTCTTCACGGATAAGTTCTTCCTGCCTTTTCAATGCAATGGCTTCTTGGTATGCAACTTCAATTTTGTTACTGCATTTCTCAGAAAGATTCCAGTAAAACACGTGAGGCACAGGTTGAAATGCCGATAAGACATACCATATCATAAAAAATAAGAAAGAGTAAACAGGTATAGCTCTGAACAATAACTTCATTAACCACAAACCTTTTAGAGGCCCAGAACAAATAATGTCAACCTTTTTCTATGAATTGTAGATTTAACCTTGTATTACAATATTTGTTTACTTATGCACATACATTTATGGAATTTTCAAATATGAGAGAGATATGACACCATGTCACCTGAATATATGGGCAAGAACAAATATTTCAACAGTTCGTCTTCCCAATTCAGTTAAACGCCTCTCATCACGTTCAATGGCTTCCTTATTGAACTCCTCTCCAGCATTGCCCTCCTAGATGATGTTGAGGAATACAAAAAGTAAAGTCATCACCACCGGCATAATTTGCTAGTAAATATATTGAGCAGATATGTTGTAAGAAATTTACAAAACAAGAATAAGAAACCCATAATAAAACCTAATAAACTAACCTTGGTACGATTTTGAGGACCCTTTTCATCTTTTGGGGGCAATGGCTCCAGGGCAGCCCTTTCTAGTAGTAACAGCACATCATCAATTAATACAAACATATCTTTGTCCAGACTAACAATTGGAGCTGGTGATTCTTCAGCATCCAACAGTCTCAGCCTCCTTTTCTTGTTCTTGGTTTGGCCTTCAAGAGCCTTCAACCCACTATACAAGGAATCCATCACCAAAGTGGATGTGACTTCCTTCTCTATGAAGAAGTGTTTTACGACTACTTTTAGAATCACGTCCATTTTCTCCCTCGACATGCGGCGTCTGGAATTTTGATCCATCCCTAACCAGAAGGCACAGAAGCTGCAACCAACAAGGACATACATTTGGTTTTGTGTAAATTGCTCAAACTCTGAGGGAGAATTGATTTAAAGAAATACATGGAAAGCAGCATTAGCGTAATGAATTAGAGCATATTCGTCCCAGATTCTCTTCCAGGAGTTTACCATCATTAAATCTTAGGGTGTCCAAACGGGTATATCAGAGACACTGAAGCAACACCACCAAATAAAATTCAGAGTTATAGCAATTAGATTCCAAAAGTCGGTTATGCCTGTTATAAATTACTCTCACATTGTGCAAATTCACCGGAAAAAATGAACTACGATTAAGGAATCCACTATGATTTCTTGTCTGGAATACGGAAGAGTTAAGTATAGATATCACGATGCTAAATACCTCGCCCATCTGGCTTTGTCCTCTATCAACCTCCCCAGCTTGCTTCTTCTCTCCTCCACAAATCGCCGACAAATTTGCTCTACATTTGTCAAATACACCCTAACAAGTTCTCTCCTATACTGACAATCAAGGCAGCGAAATGGTCGGTCCACTCTCTCTCTACAAGAATCAATTAAGGAATGTTATATACAAAGCCAACAGTAATAACAACACAGGAAAACAAGAATCAGCCCATAATGGTACCCCTGGGAGAGCAATAAATAATGTGGGCTTAAACTCAACAGTGAGCAAACAGAACCCAGAATGGTTATTTTGCACATGGCTTTACATTCAGTCAATCTCGCATTACCTGATGACCTGAACTTGAGCCTTTATTATAAGCGAGTCAGAATCATCTATGAACCCATCCTGCAATTTAGGTAACTCCATAAATTTTTTCCATCCCCAATCATGCTCTTTCTTCCAGAATCGATGCAAAGTATCTGCACGAAATGTGTTCAGTTGTCTGTACATTGAAAACTGAGATGGGAACAACAAAACCAAATATGCAAAAGGTAACCTGAGTATTTCGATTTTTTTGGATCTTTATTCACCACAGCTATTGTAAACTGTGCAAAATGACTCCAACCTGTCTCGGATATAACAAAAGAACCAGTCTAATAAGGCTTGCAGCCAGAAAAGACTAAATTGAAGACAAGTGAACAACAATACTGACCTGGAAGAAGTTTATCATGGTTTGCAACACAAAGAAACAAAGAAAGATGGTTACAAACATCGCAGCCCTGGGGATAAATCAAAATATACCTGCCATACATGGAATAAAGATAAAAAGGAAATAACATCAGAGAAGTAGAATCAAATCCCAACACAAGTTTCTACAGATACCGAGAAGTGGAGAATGGAACTAAGAACTTGGAATTCCTTCAAATGTTCAGGCAAAGCAAAAGGGAACCAGGGCAGTTTCGATTTAAAGTGACTAAAGAGGTTGGGAGCTTCAAGCTTATTGCTTGGTTCAGTGATTGAATAGCTTACATCTAATACAAAATATGCATGTAAAAAAGAATAACCACGCCTTCTGAAAAATGCAAAAAAGAAAGAATTGCTACAAAATGCAATACGAAAATTAGTACTTTAACTGAGAAAGCCAAAGTACATGGACGAGAAACAAGAAAATAAGCCACATACCATTTGAAGCCACCAACTACAAAAGCACTGCTACGGAGCTCCCTCTTATTGATCTCCGAGAATTTATCAATCTTCCATGTATGTCTCCCATATAGTTCAGAGGGTTTTTGCCCTAGCAAAAGGAACCAATTTCAGAGGAAATGACATCCATGATAGAATAGTACAAAACTAAACAAAAAAAAGAAGAATCGGCTTAAATATCCATAACTAGAAGCAAATAGTAGGATATTATGCGAAGGTGAAATTTTAAACAGAATGGATAAAACACAAGGCAAAAAAGAACAGAAACAGACAACAACCTTAAATTTCCATTACTAGCACATTTTATCGATAACAGTTGCCTTTAGGTTCATGCATTTGCTTAATCAAGCACGTCCAACTATAAGATGATAACTCTGAAATGAAAAGAGAAATAAGAAAATTCGGCGCGAAAAGTCAACTACTATCTTGCAAGTTTCAACATCTATATAGAATGGATACAGATATCATCTGTAAAATAACTGGCCTGTACAAGAAAACTGTATGACCCCCAACATAGAATTCTTGTAACTATAATGCAAATGTATTAATAGAACAATACATGGATGTGATTCATCTGTAGAGACCGATCTTATTGGCTCACATCCATCCACATGACAATTCCAAGTTCATGAGAAATACTCAGTGCACATGCAAGCACATACCATCATCATCATTGTCATCAGTGTCCCAGTAAGGGGGTGACGTTGATGTAGTTCCATTCTCCACTTGATCAGATGACCTCCATTCCACCAGTGCTTCCCCCGATTGGCTTCGCTCTCCATTCAAATTCTCCTCCACTGATCGGGTATGAGACTCTTCATCAACAATATCAGCCATTTCCCCACTAGGTTAACTTACGCGCCAAAAACGTCGAATACCCTTCCTTTAACTGAGAAAATAAATATTGGAGACAACAGGTTACATCCCGAATTCTGCCAATCCCGTGAAAGACGAGATGCTTTTCACATTGAAATCCATTCCAAACAAGGAACCAATCAAAATGTTAAATAGTGGTAAGCAAAATCGACATCCCTATGCCTCAGATTTCGAGAATCTCACAGTCCGGATGGCAAATGAACATTAAAGCAGTTGATTTCGCCACTGAAACATACGAAAACAGGCGGCTATCTTCTCTCCGATTGTACCAATCGTCTGTTTTTTATATTCTATCAGAACCTAGAATCATAACTTCACTGATCCTACACAGAGATCTGGCTCGTACAGGAAAACTGTATCAATCAATCAATCACTGAGCAAACAACATCACAAAATCAAATCAAACAATCCTTCCCCTCGGTTTTCCGAGGAACCAACATTATTCATGCGTCAAATCCATTGCCTAAAATCTCACATCAGATAGCCAAAGGGCAATAAACCCTAAATCCAATCTTCAGGGACGGATTAAAAAAAGCCCAGCTGAAAACACAAGAAAAACCAATCTCTCGTTTCAATCAACTAAATCTCCAGAGGTACACCCAATTGCATGAAAACATCGAGAACCCAACAAAACCCAGAAGAAGAAGAAAACAACGATCGGATAGCGATAACCGCTCATGAATAAAATAAAACCAGATTGAAATCGCAAACCTAAGCCTCGCAAAACCTGAACAAAAGGAGAGCGAGATTGAGAGGGGCGTTCAGGGCATCGTTTAGATCAAAGCGAACCTGGTTTGGTGGAAGAAAGAGCAAAGAGGAGCGTATTCTTCTAACGGGTTAATGGCTGCTCTTCGAGATTCTAGAGCGAGAGAACACAAGAGACGACGGAAGAGAGAGGGAGAGGTCGCAGGAAGCAGCTAAGGGGAAAAGGAAAAATGAGAGGAAAAAACAAAAGGCCTTTCGAGAGAAAGTCTTATTTTAATTCGTGTGATAATATTTTAACGTTGATGCTTTGATTTTTTTTTTCTTTTTCCAATTCATATTTATTTCTTGTGCTCGAAGTAATTTATTGAATGTATCACATATATATATATATATATTGTAACATGTAATTAATTATATTTACTCGTGCACATAACAATATCGTTAATAATTCAACGTTTTTTTCCAATATATAAAACAATTATACTTTTTCAAACAATTTATTTTTATTTTAAAATAATGTACTGAGTTATAAATTAATTACTCGAACAGAATAAAAAATAATATTATCTTATAGGAATGATTAGTTTACTTGCTAGTTTTGATAAGATAAATTAAAATTATTTTTATATTTTGTAAATTAATAAATTTGAATAACTCAACGGGAACAATCTATACAACAAACTGATTTGGTTATACAAATCAACACTGTTAATACATTTTGAACTGTTTAATAAAATGTGTATCTTCCTGATTTCCTTCTTCTTGGTAATACAAAAAATCAATATTCCGATATTACATATACCAAATATATATTGAATTCGATAATTTTTCAAATTCGAATTTTTAAACATATATATATCATATCCATTTTTTATCTCGATTTTTTAACATATTTTAATTCGTTTTTATTTTAAAAATATTGAATTCATGAAAAATAATATCTATTGGATTATTATTGTGGTTTAAAAAATCATAAGAAATAAATAATATCAAATGCAATCTTAAAATGGAGGGATGTTAGAGCTAGAGGAGGCTTGGAAGAGTCCAGATTGAAAATGAACCTCTTAAGGTCCGAAAGTACATTTGGGCCTTTTGGGCCCATAGAGTGATTTCATGTACCCAAAAACAATTAATAAGATGAACCACATCATATATATATATATAAATTTCTTAACTGCTATTCAATGTCTCTCTTGACATTTATTAACATTAATGAACAAAGTTCGGCAAATTGGTTTGAATCATCACACAAGTCTTTGACAAAATTGCAAAAACCCTCCATTCTTGATTGTCATTACCCAACAAACTGCCATCTTCAACTTCAATCTCTTTGATATTTATTTGAATTTAAACCCTAAACCCTAAACCCTTTTTTGATGAATTGTTACAACCCCAATTTTGTAAGAAAGCACCAGTGGTCTAGTGGTAGAATAGTACCCTGCCACGGTACAGACCCGGGTTCGATTCCCGGCTGGTGCATTTCATTTTACTCAACAAATAAAATGCCTCCTTTTTCATTTTTTTTTGTAATGGCTTTTTTTTTCTTTTTTTTCTCAATATATAAAAATAAATATGAGGAAATTTGCTATAAATATTCATCATTTTTTAAAAAAAAAAACAGAGATGCGCAGATGTATATGTATATATATACACACAAAAGAATATATATTTGTGTATATTGATATTTCTCCTTTTCCGGCTATTTTTCTTTGTAAAATAAATACTTTACTATATAAAATAAAATGGCGGCACAAAGAATCAATATTTTGGTGTAAACAAATCTAACTTTTCTGAGATTATTTTATATATGTATGATCAGCTACATATTTTATAAATTATATATCTGGGATAATAACCCGGCTGGGGCCTTTCATTTTACTCAACAAATAAAATGCCTCCTTTTTCATTTTTTTTTGTAATGGCTTTTTTTTTCTTTTTTTTCTCAATATATAAAAATAAATATGAGGAAATTTGCTATAAATATTCATCATTTTTTAAAAAAAAAAACAGAGATGCGCAGATGTATATGTATATATATACACACAAAAGAATATATATTTGTGTATATTGATATTTCTCCTTTTCCGGCTATTTTTCTTTGTAAAATAAATACTTTACTATATAAAATAAAATGGCGGCACAAAGAATCAATATTTTGGTGTAAACAAATCTAACTTTTCTGAGATTATTTTATATATGTATGATCAGCTACATATTTTATAAATTATATATCTGGGATAATAATCCTATTATTTCCGATCTTTATGTTTGAGATTTTGTCTCTCAAATAAACATATTTAAAGTATAAATAGCTCACTAAATGCTGTAAATAAAAAACGCTACATCTAAATATATGTATATTAAGTATCTATTTTTTTCATATAAAATCCTAAGACTCTAAAAGACATGTTTAGAGTTTAAAATTATTGGAGAAAAAGACATCGGTTTTCAATAAACTTCAATTTCCTTATATTTTAAAAATGAAAGAGAAATAAAAAAATTTCTTTTATATTAGAGACCTTGTGTGTCAAATATAATGGGCAGAAACATATTCTATTTTTAAATATTATGTAATATGAATGTGTAATTAAATTATATTTTATTACAAAAAATTGTAATATATATATATATATGCTAAAAAGGTTGCTTAATGAAATTCGATAAATATAAATGCAAGTAGATAGATATGAACATCTCCTCATCGGAATAGCATTTTGAGCTCTTCGAGACGAGCAGATCGGACTTCTTCATCGGTAAGAGCTCCGGCGATCATCCGTTGCTTTCTCGCCTGAACCTGTTGCATCCTCTCCTCCACCGTATCCTGCATTCATCATCCATCATTCGCCATTCACCATTCAATGGATCAAATGAGATTGGTGGTGTTATTATTACAACCTTAACGATGAATCTCCGGACGCGAACTGTTCGCTTCTGGCCGATTCGATGAACTCTCATTATCGCTTGCTCTTCCACTGCCGGATTCCACCATGGATCCTACAGTTCCAATCATCATCATCACCATCATCATCATCATCATCATCATGATCGGGAAGTGTTTTTGATTATGTATGATCTTACCATGAGAAAGACGTTCGAAGCTACGGTTAGATTCAGACCGACTCCTCCTGCTTTCAGAGACATTAGAAGAACCTGGTGCAGACACAACAGAAAAACAGAATTTTCAGATGTTAATGTCGGATTCAAATTTCAGTATTTAAAAGGTTCGTAACTTACTCTCTTCTCACTGCTTTCATTGAATTCCTTCAAGATCTTCTCCCTTGCTTTCTGTGCAAGCTTCCCATCGAATCTGAGAAACCCTATTCCTCTTCTCCTCAACGGAATCTCCAGAAGATCAAAAAACGAAGTCCACTGGCTGAAGACGATGCTCTTTTCGCATCTCTGTATCCTCTCTAAGAACCATAACAGCTTCGATACCTTGGAAGATTCTTTCCAGTTCTTCACCACATCAACTCGGAATTTGCTCTCAGTTGGGCAAGAGATTAACTCGTTCTTGCTCACTGTCGTCCTGCAAATCGGGCATAGACCACATGTCGGAGCCCTCCAGCTGGAAAGGAGGCATTCCCGGCACATTCTGTGAGCACAAGGCGTGAGGACTGGATCATCTGCAGATTCCAAGCATATTGGACATTCTTTGCTTTCGCCTTTTCGTATATCTTCAATGACCTCCTCAACATATGCTCGAGAAGGAGCCGGCTTTTGGGACATGGAATCCATGTTATTGTCCAGAAATCTCTTCGCAAGTCTATCCAAGTCTGCATACCTCTGTGAATCTGCCCGGCTGCAACAATTTTTACACAACCTTGTGTTGGAATTTGCTTGCTGCTGATGACAGTAATAATGTTATTTGAACATATTATTATTAAGTCTTGGTTTCTGCTTTTTTTATTACCTCATGACGAGAAACGGATGGTTGCAACATTGACGCAAACGGAGTAAGAGCTCGAGGATGTTTGCATAGTTGTGAAGAACTTTGCCTTGTGCCACAAACTGATCGAACTGGACCTGTTTCCGACCAAGCAAGCAAAGAGCAGCAGTGATGAGGATGTTATAATAAAACACAAACATGGTTGTGTCAGATTATCATGTCGAAATGTGTATGAATACTTGCTTTGGATCTCTTGAAAAGGGCGGTGTAAAAGTCACGTTCCTCTTCAGATTGTTCACATTCAACAACTTGGACATCGGTTGGAGGGAGTTCAAGTATTAGTCTGGAAAATTTGGAAAAAAAAAACATTGCAAGATTCAGATTCTGACAACAGACAGAAACGGAAAGAACACACAATAAGAGAAAAGGCGAGACCAATCAAAATCAATATTACCTTCCTTCATTGTCTCGTGTTTCCTTTGTCCTTCTCAGCATCAACGGCCTCAAGATCGCCTTGATAAGCTTCAGCCCTTGTGGATTTCCATTCTCGTAAGTCTTTTGAATGAACTTATTCCACCTGTCCATACACACACACTATAAGGCATCGAAGCTCTGAATAAAAAAAATTAACAGTTGAAGATTATATACCATGCCCAGTTACACCATGGCTCGACATGCAGGAAACATAGAAGACTGTAAAGATCTTCGAGTTTGTTCTACAAAAAAGATATGAATGAAGACTTTGTGTCAGTTTTCAAGAACATCATATGAACATTTTGTGTTGTCTCAACTCAAAACTAGCGTCTTTACTTGTAAGGGAGTTCCTGTAAGACACCATCTGCAATGAGACGACAACTCAAACGCAGCTTTGGCCACTTGAGTCTTCCATGACTTAATCGTGTGAGCTTCATCCAGCACTACCCTGTACCAGTTCACCCTGTGGAATATACTTTTCTCCATATCCTGCATTTTTTTGGTTCATCAGCATCTGATACTTCATATATATATATATGTGTGTGTGTGTGTGTGGTTGTGAATATATATCATACTTGTTTATAAGCTGAGGATAAGACACCATATGTTGTCAAGACCACATCATGATCTGCAATCACCCTAGGGTTATTTGTTTTGTCACCTCCGTAGCAAACTAACACAGATAAGCTGTCCGGACTCGAATGAGTCTCCATTTCATCCTGGAATTCGTTTAACGCCCATGAGAATTTCTCATATGAAAAAAAAAACTTTTAGGAAATTGTGAAGAAATGGTTATAGAGGGAGGCAATTCTCATTCACCTTCCACTGGCTCAACAAAGCCATGGGACAAACAATAAGAGTGCCTCCTTTTGCCTTTTGAGAGCTTTGTCTGGCCCTTTGGCTCATATTTCCTGTAACATTGGCATTTTCATTATCTGGGCTACCTCGACCTGGCCGTGCTAGTATTAACGCAATCGTCATCACGGTTTTCCCAAGTCCCATAGCATCTGCAAGTATCTGCAAAACACAATGTTCAATTTATATATTTGAGAGAAACACTGTGTTAGGATAAAGAGATCATTGTATATCAAAGTAGCTTACTCCGCCTCTCGCCATCTGTGTTGCAGCCGGAAACTGGATTGTTGCTTCGCCATTGAAGACATTCACATAAATTGAGGGTGCCCTCCTGAAGATTTTTAGCATTTCATATTCCAAAATACATTAGAAATCAATACTTGAAGGAAACTACCTTGGCCACCTTCCCAGGTTCAATTTCATCATCGAGATACTACATACCCGTCACAGATTCGGTAGGCTTCCCAGCATGGATGAAGAGTTTCAGCTGCTTTTTCAACATCAATTCCTTCTTCAGATTCTGACATCCAGTAGAGAGCTTGTTTCTGGTACGGCCTCAGGTTGCACATGAGCGTACTCGGTGGTTCCATTTCCTAAAAAAATTATGTAAGAAAGAAAATCAGATTTCAATTAAGTTTTTTTTTTAAGAACAGCAAATGATCACACAAAGATATTATTACCTCCAGGTTGTATGAATCTGCAGCTCCAACAATTTTGTTGAGAGATGTCTCGGAAACATCTTGGTTATCTTCGTTGTTCTGCTCGCAACCCCTTCTTCTTTTCAGTACGGGCAGCATAGCCGCTTCTTTGTCCGAGTCATCCTATCTCAGACAATGCATAAATCAAATTAACTGTATTACATGTCATAAACTCGACATGAAGGATAATATAAAAATTCAGAATATCTACATTAACACACATATGTCTTCAAGATTCGTTCAGCAATTGCAGATAACAATGCAATACATTGGGACACGTACCTCCAAATTCAGCAAACGTTTGTTGGAGTTAAGTTCCTGAACCGTGAACTCCGCCTGATTGAAAATATAAATAAATATATATACGAGAAATATAACGGATATTTTGATGGAATAGCCTGATTCAAATGTCTAGACAAGAAAATATCATTGGTACATGCCTGTTGATAAGGCTTGATCTTCAGGTGCTTGAAAAGCAGACGGAGCGGATAAATCATGGAATCTATGTTTGGAGGGCTACCGATGCACCAGGTTGACTTGTTCACATCGGTAAATATCATGCTGTGAATGTAAAAACTGCCCCACCACAGACCATACAAAATTTTTACAGTAGCTATCAGTGTTAAATGATCAAGTGACTCAAGATTAAAGGGAGACTGGAGGGAAACGATCTTTTTTTACCTGACATATAAGGTAATATCTTGCATCATTTGAAGATTTGCTGGAGCAGCTACACATCTACCAAGCATTTTGACCTTTCCAGAACGTGCAAGGTACGTTGCCCAGTTCGACAACTCCATTGGAAGCCTACCGATCTAAATATTACATCGGTCCAAGGAATATAATCAACCATTAGTACCTTGAATTCAAGAGTCTCAACACATCATTCGAGAACGAAGAACAAGACTAGAAGCTAAACCCATTCTAGTTTTTCACGAAACTAACACAAAAATTATGGCAACTTTGCATATTGAAGTCAAAATGTAATCTTTCAGCACAGTATGTTTCCTAAAAGCATCAACAAACTAACCAATAGACTTCCAACTCTAAAGCTTCACAAGTGAACTACCATTATTCAGCTTCACATCAATGTTCAAATGTAATAACCAACTCGAAAAAAAGAACCCAAGTTTTGATCTTTATGCATCGCATGAGTGAAAAGTGGCTAACCTCTCCATTTCTTTTTGTAGAGAAACGAACAATATTAGCGCATTTCCAATTGGTGGTGACAGTAGGAAACTTGAAATAAACAATCTCATTGTCCACCAATTTCCTCCCTTTAGATGTGGAAATAGCTGTGACCAGTGATCTTCCTACCAAATACCATTCTTTCTCCACTGGAAAATCCCCATCTTCCACTACCATCTTTTCTTCAATCACTTCCTTCTTCACATACACGGGTTTCGGTGCATGAACATATCTCTTCTCTTCTTTCACACGGGAATTCAGATTCTCTGGTTTCACTTTGGGAGCTACAGGGGGATTCGGCCTTGTTGCATGAATATTGGCATCCGTTGGTGCTGACCTTTTTGCGTGCAGATCCTCCTCTCTTCTTGCTGAAAGACGAGCTCCCACGCCATCAAAAAAAGCTTCGATCTCTTTTTCCATCTTTATCTCTTCTAGAGATGATGTCTTCCCACCATCATTGAACTTTGGCTGTTCATCCTGGACTTTGGTAATCTCTTCTTTCTTTCCAGGCTCATCCAAAGGACCAAATGCGGCTTTATCTTGCACTGTTTCTTCTTCTGACCGAGTTCCTGAATCGGTTTCTTCTTTCACCTTAACATTACAACACCCATTGCCTGAGAGTCTTGAAAG